AGCGAATCTATCAATAGCGACGGGGGCCTCCCAGGAGGCCATAACATGAGAAAACGATGGAAGGGTAGCGGCATCGACACCTACAGCCGAGAAAACGATCAAAGACAACTCTGCCAACGTACAGAAAGTTGTTTTATAACGAACCTAGGTCAGTTATGTTGTGAAAGCTAGGGGAACGAACGTGCTCAAGAAACGGGGCCAGCTTTCCAGCAAGTTGGTCGAGAAACGCTGGCCCAGCTTTTCGGGCGGAGATGTCTTAATCGGATGCTCGACTATATTATGGGACGTGCAAAGACAGACTAGTACTGGATGTCGTCATTGGAGGTGTGCGTCCGACCTGAACACATAGTACTACCATCTTGTAGTTTACCGTGTCCCAAGCGGGATGGCCAGAAAGCGCACGCCACGGAGCGCATACTGCAAGATTTCTCGGTGCGCGCGTCGCCTCTGGGGAGGGGGCGGGGGGGCGACGCACACATAGAACTAGCATGTTTGGGTGACGCCGATATTAATTGTCCATTCAAGAAAAATCCAGGGTCCAGAAGCCGGCGGAACGCCAATTGAGACCTGGGCATGGACATCACCGCAGCACTCCTCAGACAAGGAATCCCGAAGGTCTGAAACATCCTGGGCACACTCCTTCACGAACGCTCACACCGTCTTAATTCTCCGACATCCTTTCCAGCGAGGGCAGAGAGATCACCGCCGCATTCATCAGATAAGGACCCCCGAAGATCTGAAGCACCCTGGGCACATTCCTTAACGACCGTCCCCTGCGTATTAGTGAAACGGGTCCTGGACCCTTGATCCAGAGAAATTTTCTGACGGCCCAGGGCCCGTGGAGGGCGCCAGGGAGCCCGAAAACGGGGAAAACCTTCGGGCTGGTTTTCCTCAGGACACGTTTCCCCGATGGCAGCTGTATTGCTTCCCCGACATCCGCAGAAACGAGGACCGGAACACCGCTTCCCGAGTAGTATCGCCAGAAAGCGCCCTCCACGGAGCGTATACGACAAGATTTCTCGGTGCGCGCGCCGCGCCTGGCGGGGGGCGACGCACACATAACACCAGTATGTTTGAGTGACGCCGATATTAATTATCCGACTTCCTCTCATATGCTCGACTGCATCCATTATCCGACGGAAGTTCCTTAATCAGATATTGGGTGAAGCCGCTGTTGATTCTCTGGCGGAGGTTTCTCAAACAAATGCCCGACTGTATTGATTCTCCAACGTCCTCTCCAACGAGGACCGGAACACGTCCTCGGGGACGGGCTTCAGCGGGTCGGAGAGGTCCTCGCTATGACAGCGCCGCATATGCTGTCGCTGCCGGCAGCTCCCAGCCTCGCCTCGCCCTCTCGCCAATACAACTGGGCCCAGGGACGCGCAAATTAGTAACCTCAGGAGATCTCTAGTTTTGCACACCCTCCCTCCCCGCACCCCCCCTGTTTCATTCGGCTGGAAATAAACTCGCCCTCCTCCTCCTCCTCCTCCTCTTCCTCCTCCTCCTCCTCTTCCTCCTCCCCCCCTCCTCCTCCTCCTGCTCCTCCCTCCTCGTCCTTCTCCTGCTCCTCCTCATCGTAATCGTCGTCGGCGTCGTCGTCGCGGCGGAGGGTATGTTCCCTGAGTTGTTGGGCGGGCTGAATAATGTCGGGGGTTCTTTCTTCCAGGGAGTAATCCATTGTGGGCTCCCCTATACGCGAGAGGATGTGTGAACATCTTCGCATGAAAATTGCAATTCGGATTCAGTGGTTGCGGTTGTAGTCGTTATTGCAGTCGTGGGCGTAATCGTGATGGTAATCGCGGTGAGCCCCAGTGTGTCAGCAAGTCGTCGAAAAAGATACAGTTTCCAACTATTTGGGGGGATCTAGAGACCAACAGGGGTTAGGCACAAATCGAGGGATTCCCAATATTTCCACCTTCTGGATCTTCGTCTCCCCCTCCACTTCCTATATGTTCCACACGTTCCCTGGGAATCGTCAGTGTGTTTGTCTGTTTGTTTGTGTGTTTTCCCCTCCTGGTCCGTGACGCAGCTGTCCGCTGTCCCCGCCTCCGCTGCCCCCGTTGCGAGCGCCGCACCCGAGAGGGAGAGGGAGCAGGAGAGAGAGAGAGAGAAAGGACGACAAGCAGGATCGGCGACGAGCGAGGGGGGGGAACGTGAGAAGGAGAAGGCCATCTCGGAAGGCGGCGGTACTTCTCAGAAGCCCTCGCGCCTTCTGGGACGCCTCCGGTGTCTTCGGGGAAGGCTTGGAAGACTTCTCAGAAGGCTGGGTGGGAGACTCCCGAGCCTTCTGAGAAGGCCCGCCCCTTCTCACTTTCCCACAGGGCTCACCTCAGATGCAAAAGGAGACGAGACAGCGACGACAATCAGGAAGCAGGTCGGAGGAGGGAGGCGCGAAGTCCTCGTTCTCCCACCAGTGCAGCACCATGATCAGCTTCGCCAGGAAGTCCTGGTTGAATGGGCCCTCCTCCTCCTCGGAGAGCGCCTTCATCAGCATGCCCATCTGCACTGGTGCATCGGCGTGCTCTTCTTGCTGCTCTTCGTCCTCTTGGGGCTCCTCCGAACAGCGGAGGGGGTGGCTACAGCAAGTGGGGGGCTTCATACAGAAGAGACCTGAGCCGAGGAACAACATGCTCAGAATTCAAGGCAGGAGTTCGACAACGCGCTTGGCCAAACGATGGGACGGCTGCTGGCGACTGCGCGTGGTGGGTGCTGACGAGGTAGTCGAACCCAGGCCAGAAGAATTCCCCTCAAGAACACGAGACCCTCCGCCGGCCCAAACACACAAAGCACTCAAGGGTACCCTCCCCCAGGACGGACAACAATGGCCAGCAATCACGAAGAACACGAGAGCACCCTCCCCGAATCGACCTCGATCTTATACCTCGGTCCGACCGTACGTCAGCGTGTTCCTTCCGTCATTCCCGCCCACCTCTCTCCTTTTGCGCCTCTGCCCCCGCCGCCGCTCTCCTACTCTGCCTTCTCCCCCTCCTGCCACATCCGACACGCATGCTTTGGCGATGAGCGTGCCATCAAAAATGAAGGTTCAGTCACTGTGCCAAGACTCCGATGAGATCGCCCCCCCTTTGCACAGGCACCGGAGCTGGACAAAAGCATACGTTGCGAACGCCTTGTAGCTTGAGAAGTAAGACTTGTTGTCCCAGTGCCCCTAGGGCCCTGTGGGCCGCTGTCTGGTCTCTCTTTTTTTTTGTTGTTCTCTCTCTCTCTCATAACCACTCTCTCTCTCTCTCTCTGGTTTTATTGTCTCTCTCTCTCTCTCTCTCCTTCTCTCAATATGTACTGTTTGTAAACGTGTACATGTGTGGCGGACCTTGGATCTCGAAACGCAGCCATCTCTTGGGGGCGCACCTTCAACTGCCGCCACCTCCCGCCCGCCTTCCGCCGACGGTGGCGCCCGCGATTGGCTCCCACCGTCTCCCGCGAGCCTTCCGCCAGCTCCCGCCGAGGAAGAGACACCGACCCCTTCGACTCTCGACGAGGAGGCACTGTCTAGCGCCCTGTGTCTATCCGAGGTTGGCTCCCACCGCCTCCCGCGAGCCCTCCGCGAGCCTTCCGCCGAGGAAGAGACACCGACCCCTCCGACTCTCGAAGAGGAGGCCTCCCGCGAGCCCTCCGTGAGCCTTCCGCCGAGGAAGAGACACCGACCCCTCCGACTCTCGGAGGGGAGGCCCCGTCTCTGCCCGCCGCCGTGCCCCTGTGGCACGGAGTGGAGCGTCCCGAGGCCACTGGCCGAGCCCCTTTGTAAGCCTCAGCCCACGATCCGGAGGACGCTCTTAGGGGGGCCCCAGACCTCCTAGGGGGGGACTCTCTCAGGGGGGACTCTCTTAGGGGGGCTCTCTTAGGGGACCCTCTCAGGGAGGACCCTCTTAGGGGGACTCTCTTAGGGAGGACTCTCTCAGGGGGCCCAGACCTCTCAGGGGGGACTCTCTCAGGGAGGACCCTCTGATGGGGGACTCTCTTAGGGGGGACTCTCGTAGGGGGCCCAGACCTCTCAGAGGGGGACTCTCTTAGCGGGGACCCTCGCAGGGGGGGCCACATCTTCTGGGGCGCGTCGCGTGGCCCCTGGGGGGCCCGTCGTGCCCCGCCGCGTGCGCTGCTCGTGCCCAAGAGGGGCCCCAGGGCGGGCCAAGGAGGGCCCCCTCCAAGGGGGCCCCGCATCGCCGCGCGGTCGGCCAAACGCTCCCAGGATGGCCCCAGGACGACCCAGGAGGCCTTCGAGGCGCCCCACGAGATCCCAAGAGCCTCCCCAAGAGGGCCCCGAGAGGCAAAACTCGTGCATATGTCGCTGAGGTTTTCAAGTCTGCAAGGGTTCCCGGCTTCTCCAACTTCCGACACTCCAAGACGACCAGAAAAGCCCCGAAGACCACCCCAAGGTCCCCGAGCCGCGAGGGCCCCCTGACAGCCCAAGAGGGACCCAAGATGGCCCCAGATGCGCCCAAGACGGCCCAAGAGAGCTCAAAGACAGCCCCAAGAAGGGCCCAAGAGAGGGGGAACACGAACAGAACGTCCGAGCCTTCCGCCGCCGCAAGAAAACGCCCCGAAGACCGCAAGGAGGCCCCAGAAAGGCTCCAAGAGGCTTCACAACGGCCCCCACGAGGCACCCGAAAGGCCCCCGGCGACATCCCAACGAACACCCTTGAGGCATGTGGCCCACAACCCAGGCACCGTGGCCGGATGGGCCGAAGCCCATCATTTACATACACGTAGATACACGTACGTACCTATGCATGTACGCATACATACATACATACATACATACCTACCTACCTACCTACCTACATACATACATACATACATACATACATACATACATACATACATACATACAGACAGACAGACAGACAGACAGACAGACAAACATACTTACTTACTTATGTACATACATACTTACATACATACATGCATACAAACATGCATACATTCATACATTCATTCATTCATTCATACATACATACATACATACAGCCATACATACATACATACACATGTATATATATATATATATATTCATATATATATATGTCTGGGATGCCTGCATGAATGTTGTTGTATGTATGTATCCCCATCTCGCTGTGGTGTGTTGTCTCGTGTGTGTGTGGGAGTCTGCGTGTGTGCCCCTCTTTCTCCATATATCTCTCTCTATATGTATATATGGATTTCCTTTTTATGTGGTGTTTGGTTCTCTCTCTCTCTCTCTCTCTCTCTCTCTCCCTCTCTCTCCACCTATATAAAGCATCGGAAACTATTGGCGGCCTCGTCGAAGATTATGTGACGAAATGCCTCGAAATGCCAGCTGGAGTTCGCCCTATCGGCCCCTCTTGGGGCTGTTGTGGAGGCCAATCGGGCCCTTCTGGGGGACTTCTTGCGGCGATCCTGGAGGCCTATTTGGCCGTCTTGGCGCTCCGATGACCGAACAGCGCAGTGTGCCCAAATCATAAACATGAGGATGAACTGACAAGGTGGGCCTCTCGGGCAAGCCTCAGCGGTTCCCCAAAGGGACTGTCAAAAGGATATGGACCAAACCAAGTTAGGCGTACAATCAACCCGTATAATAAGGATGCGCGATAAGGATGCAAGGGCCTTGGACGCCCATTTCGAAGCTTTTCGAGCGGGGCGCGGCCGACGAAAGTGGCGAAGGATGGACCGAGGAGGCAAGGATGCAAGGGTACCCTTGGGAAGGTTGCCCATCCTTACTATGCGGGTTGACTGTACATGCCCAATCGAGGGACTGAGAAGGCAATCCTTCGACAAAAATCTGTGAGCGAGGCCGAGCTGCGCCCCTAAACGCCAACCCAAGCTGATATAGATCCAGAGCCCTCTACCCTTAGGTCAGGTATGTCCCCCTACAGGCGGATTTTGGGCGACAAATTAAAAATACCCAAGGGATACAACAGAATAGCCAAACAATATCCGAAAAATCGTCCCCAGACTATTTTGAAAACTATGTTTGAATACTCCTCCTGTAGGGGGACAGGCCTGGCTTAACTCTACCTTCGACCAGGGGGGGGGCTGGACGGCGAGAGAGGAGGGGGACGCTGGTAGAGGCCTCCTCGATGATGTCTGAGTAGACGGGGTCGGAGGATCGCGCCGCAGCGCCGATGCATCGGCGATGCATCGGCGATGCATCGGCGACGTCGGCGATGCCATGGTCGCCGTCTGCGTGGAGAAGACCAGGCTCCGCATCGAGCCGCATCGCTGATGCATCGTCGATGCGGCGCGATCCTCCGACCCCATCTATACTCGGACCCCGTCCTGGAAGCCCGAAGCTGGGCGGCGAGGAGATGCGGAACGCAGCGGGTGGGATGAGGAAGAAAAGAGGCAGACAATATGGGGACCCATAGCCCCTCGCGTCATGGAAACCGGCTGCACACAGGAGGAATGCTAGGCAAGAGTGGCCATTGGTGCGCGCCTCTGGGGTGCCGCGGAAGGGCGAACGTAAGCGCACAATGTGCCGGGGGGAACCTCGTGAGCCCGCGCCAGAAGTCACCCCGGCGAAAGGCCAATCTTGCGTGTACAGTCGGGCTGCTGGAATAAGAAACGATAGCCAAGGAACGAAGCCCCTTTTGGGCCCCAAAGGCGCCTGCGTGAACGAAGGGCGCTAGATGAACGGCCATGGAAGGACGCAAGGAGCAACAAACCCCTTCCGAACCCAAACCGGTCCTTATTTCAGCGTCTTGGCTGTAGCCGAGAACATCATACACACACACACATGTGGCAAACTTCGGTCATTTTCGGCCCGTTGCAGGGCCCATGGGCCGCCAACAGAAACAGCGCGGGTTGAGAAGAGTCTGTTTATTTTTATTTTCCGCAACCACCAAGTGACGTCACGTTCCAGGCTGGCGGCGTCCGGGAATGCCTAGGGATGACCGAGGCCGAGTAGGAGCAACATGTAGGTGTCAATCTGCAACAATGCTCGCGTGCACCACAGCGCGCGTGTACACCACAGCGCCTGAGTACACCGCAACAGCCGTGTGCAACGCAGCGCCTGTGTACACCACAGTGCTTGCATGAACCACAGCGCCAGTGCACACTCCTCGAATGTGCACCGTAGCAGCCGTCTGCAACACAGCGCCTGTGTACACCGCAATGCTTGCGTGCACCGCAGCGTATGTGCACACCACAACGCCTGTGTACACCACAACATCCCCCTGCAGCACAGCGCTGGTGTACAACAGTGCCTGAGTGCAGAGGACAGGTGGAAGGAGCATGTTGGTAAGTATCTGCTGCGGACAGCTCAACATTACGCAAGGGAAGTGCTGATAATAGAATGTGATTATCTTCCCTCATCCTCCTCATCCTCCTTCTCGTCCGTCACCCGTCCCCGTTGCGCGTGCACCGCCAAACGGTCCATTGAATCAGTCCACTTGGTTTTCGGACGGCCAGCTTTGCGGGAGCCTTCGAACGCAGGTGGGGAAAGTTAGGATGATGCGGGAGGACTCGGGAGGACTCGTAGATTCCAGAAGCGCTCCTATTTAAAGAAGG